GAATTTTATATTTGTCCAGGAATTTTGAAATTTTCACTTTGATTATGAACTCCAGTGATTTTTCTAGATTATATATAAAAAATATCGGTCTATAATTATCGCAGTTTATAATTTTTTAAGAGGTATAGTATTTGATTTCCAAAACAACACAAAAAAATTGAAAAAATCGATGAAATCTTTATTGGAATCGATAGAACGATCAATATAATTTAATGTTTGAAGATGATTTCATGCAAATGTTGTCCACGGCTCCGCTTTAATTGGCCCATGCGCAAGGTCCAATTTTGGCACACTCTCTCTAACATCTACCGATACTGGCTTCCAGAGCGTTAGTCGCTGCTAGTTTATCCCTGTAGACATGAGCCTCAACATGACCCCACAAGAAATAATCCAAAGGCGTTGAATCACACGAGCTAGGCGGCCAATTGACGGGCCCCAAACGTGAGATAAACTTTTCATAGAAGGCGGCTCTTAATTGGGCCATGTGGCACCGTCTTGGTAAAACCACATGTCCGGCATGTCCAATTCTTCCATTTTGGGCAACAACAAGTCGTCAATCATCACACGGTAGCGTTCGCCATTCACAGTAATATTCCGGCCATTGTCGTCTTTGAAGAAGTACGGCCCGATTATGCCACCGACCCATAATCCACACCACACAGTGACTTTTTCGGGATGCATCGGTAGCTCTTGCAATGCTTGTGGCTGGTCTTCACTCCAGATGCGGCAGTTTTGCTTGTTAAAGTATCCATTCAACCAGAAATGAGCCTCGTCGCTGAACACAATTTTTCGATAAAAATGTGGATCTTCCTCCAACTTTACCAGCGCGTGTGGCTTCAATTCTTGCACCAGTTATTCCATATGCTAAAACATTCAGAACGCTACATGCAAGATTATGTGGAACTGGGAGTTTTAACAAAAATGCAGGGGGTGGAAGACCAGAAACTGTAACAACGCCTGAACTAGAAGAAGCTATACTTATGCGATAGAAGAAGATCGTTCAAATAGTACCAGAAAGATTAAACTACAACTGGGAGTCAATCCAAAAACCGTTGGACAGTTCTGAAACGAAACCTCCTATACCCATTCTGCTGATGAATGTCCAGCAGCAATCTTCTGCGATGTAAGCCGAGCGTTTGACTGTGTAAACCATGGAAAACTATTAGAATTGTTAGAACTATATAGTTTGAGGGGTCCCACAAGGTTCCGTCTTGGAACCGTGTTATTTATTTTGTACATTAATCAGATTGATTGTATTTTAAAAGTTGTCAACATTCTGCCTATGCAGATGATTTACCTCTGGTATTGTCTTTACCTGACACTTATTTACTAAATGCTATTTGTAGTGATGTGATGAATAATATATCAAATTTTTTCAATGAACGTTCTTTATTTTTTAATAAGGAAAAAACAGAGGTAGTACGTTTCCACAAGATTGAAGTGTGAATTTCGAGATGAAAGTCGAAATTTCGAAATTTAAGTCGTGATTTCGAAAATAAAGTTCTCATTTCGAGATTAGAGTCTAAATTCTCACTTCTTTGACTGACAACTTGTTTATTTTGTGAAAATTCATGTTCACTGAGGATGATACACTACAAAAACACACTTTCGTCTATTTTTCACGAGTTTTGAAAATGGTGTAATAGCCGAAACTAGTCAACAATAAATAAATATCGTGGAAAATAGACAAAAGTGTGTTCTTGGAATTTCGAGTTGAGAGTCGTTATATGAAAAATAAATTCGTAATTTCGAAATTGAAGTGTGAATTTCGAGATGAAAATCGAAATTTCGAAATTGAAGTCGTAATTTCGAAATTGATGTCCTTATATCGAAATTAAAGTCTGAATTTTGAGATTGGAATTCGCAATTTTGAGATTGAAGTGTGAATTTCCAGATAAAAGTTGTGATTTCGATATCAAAGTCGTTATTCTGAAATTAAAGTATACATTTCGAAATTAATGTTGGAATTTCGAATTCAGAGTGTTAATTTCAAAATTTGAGTTGAATTTGCAGATTGTAGCCGAAATTTTGAAACTAATGTCAAAATTTCGAAATTGGAATTAAAATTTCGAGTTGAAAGTCGTTATATCAAAAATAAATTCACAATTTCGAGATTGAAGTGTGAATTTCGAGAAGAAAGTCGAAATTTCGAGGTT